TTATGAAAAAGACAATTTAGAATACGTCTTGGGGGAAATAATTGAAATTTGAAGGAAAATGTTGTGAAATGTATTTTATTTTTTTAATAATTCCAATCAAATGCATTGCATATGTGTACAAAACCAACATGTTTGCATGACTGTCTCTAAAATCAATAAACACTATGTTTTACATGCTCTGCATTATTACAGCCTTGAGAAACAAAATAATATGATAACTGCATCAAATAGATCACGAGTTAAATAAATCACCAATTAAATTTAGGAAGATTTAAGTACAGTGTTATTTGCTTAACTTTTTTCAACATTTTTCTTTTTGTTCATGCTAAGAATTAATTTGTTATGCCTTTCACAGGCCTTTTGGAGAGGGTTTCCCTCCCCTTGAACTCAAAAAAGAAATGCTATCTACATTTAAATCGACGACTGTGGAAGTTTTTTAAAGACTTTTGAATATTTACATTACATTTGCATGCCAGTGTGGTTAATGGCATTAAGCCATTTCTCTAGATGAATTCAGCACTTCTGTACCTCTCTGAAGATCCTGTAGATTTCCAATCTTTAGATCTATAATTATCTTCCAACTGCAAAACCAGAGAATACATCGTGCTCACAAGCAGAATTAATTGATTAAAACTGGATATCTCTTTGCGGCCTAATGAATATATTACTGGGAAGGAAGCTTGGTGAGATGCTAAATACATAAAAAAATGGTAAAAAAAACAAAAAAACTTGTCATTCCCTGAAATTTTCCACTCAGCTGCATCAAACACATGTGAACCAGCTAATGAGGGTGTTCGGGATTACTTGAAAATCACAGGCAGGTGTGTTGAAGCATGGTTGGAACTGAAGTCTGGAAGGTAGGACTCCAAGAGCACTACCCTTGCTCCAGGGGAAAATGGAAAAACAGTCACACACTTTTGACAATTAAACAGACACTCGAGAGCATGTAAACTAAATATCCATGAGCAGAAATGCCTACTCTGCTTCTTTGTCTGAAAAGCAATCTGTATTTTCATTCTGGCTAGAAGGTAGTTGTACATCCTTCCATCCATCTTCCAAACCACCTGTCCTATTCAGGGTTGTGGGCATCTGCCGCCTATCTCAACATCTCAGGCCATAGGCAGGGAAAAACACTGGATGCACCCTGAGCTGGATATCTTTGGATTGTGAGGGAAAACTAAACACGTGGTCCACAGAAACAAAGGGAGAACATGCAAACTCTATGCAGAAAAGCCTCCCGGTTCGGCCAGGACTCAAACTAAGGTCCATTTCAGGTGACAGTACTACCCACTGACCCACCATGCTGGCCTAATTATATTTAAATAATAGGGGCTTTCGAATGTAGTTCTAGGAACTAGTCAGCAGGGTGTTTCCTAGAGGGCCAATTTGTCCCTTGGGCCGTTTTCCTGGTTGCATTCACACCGGCAGTGGGAACTCTGAAGCGGTCGACAGCAAGGTCTTTATTCACTGTACTTACAAAACGTCAGCAACCGATAAATGGGGGACACCGTGATCGGAGCTGTTTTTGTTGTGTCATGGGTATCGTGATAACGGAGATGGAATGTAAATGCACAATTTACGCAACTGAAAGAGCATGAAAATCTGGCTAAATCTCCTATGACAACTTGCAGTGTTACATATCATGGAGGCTGAGAAAAGAACAACGCTGCAGACAACAGGTAGCTAAATGTCATTATCTATGTTTTTCTTGTTGATGGAGTAAATATTTCTACACAGCTTTTTAAAAATGCCGGGTAGCCGGTGTTTTGTATGTGTTTGGCCAATCAGCGTACACTTACATCATTGGTAGTTCCTATAGAACTATTTTAGACCCTACTCTGAAATAGCAGGCGATTTAGTTCCCCCAAACAGAGTTCCCAGAAGTAAATATGTTTGTAGTTCCTGTGGCGCGAACACACCAAAAACGGGAACTTCCGCCAATAGTTCTAGGAACTATGAAAAGGTTCCTCCGCTGTGAAAGCCCCTTATAATTAAACAAATTTTGGTCCATTTTGGTCAGGTGGTCTCTTCCTGTGGGGAAGTTCCTCATCAGAATCAGCTGGCCCAAAGTGGACCAGGGACCGGTTGCATAAACTGTTTAGACTAGTCTTAAAATGTTAGTCACCTACTTTTTTCTCTTCAAGACGGCTCATAACTTTTTTAATTCAGTTATGAAAAGGTAGATTGTTCTTATTTGTACTGGAAAAGTAAGACTGATTACCCCTTGGCAACTGCTAGTTGGTCAAACTAGTTCTTAAAGTCCCCATTAAATCAAAATGAAAGTTTTTTGGGTGTTAGTATCAATATGTTAGTCTTAAGGTTATCTATAAGGCAGTGTGCTCCAAAACAGTGACAAAATTCGCATTTAGAAGATATAAGCATTCAAAGCTTGCAGTTCGTCACTTCCGCCAAAACGGCTCAATGATTCTTTTGACGTCACATCGTACTTCAGCTTCTCATCAAACTTTCTGTCCAATCAAATGCTCTCTAGAATCCGAAGCGCCGCGAAGCGATTTAGGAAAAAAAGAAGTCTGGTTTTGCGCTGTGTCACGCTAACCACCCACTGCGCGAGTCGGCTCAGACCACAAAATGTATCGGAGCTATTTGAATTCTACACAGAATGCTATATTTTATAGCAATATGGATGGGATTGTGTTTTGCATTCTCTGTCAAATGCGGCTCAACGGCGCTGAACGGCTCTGAATGGCTCTAGCCCAAGCTGTGATATAAACGAACGCTATTGGCTATTTTAAAAAAGGGCGGGGCTGCTTGATATGTCCCGCCCTGTCTTCCTGTTTCAATTAAAATGACGTCAACACATAGAGTAACGCTGCGTGTTTCTAACATAGACTGTATAAAAACATGGAATGCTATATTTTATAGCAATATGGATGAGATTGTGGCTGGCATATCCTGTCAAATGTGGCTTTACGGAGCTCAACGGCTCTAGCCCAAACTGTGATATAAACAAACGCTATTGGCTATTTTAAAAAGGGGCAGGGCTGCTTGATATTTCCCGCCCTGTCTTCCTGTTTCAGTTAAAATGACGTCAACACATAGAGTAATGCTGCATGTTTCTAAGCATTTCAGGCGACCTTTAAGTAAAGATCATGTTCCATGAAGATATTTTGTAAATTTTCTACCGTAAATATATCAAAACTTAAGGACTTCATCTGGACAACTTTAAAGGGGTCATATGACATTGCTAAAAAGAACATTATGATGTGTATTTGGTGTAATGCAATGTGTTTATGCGGTTTAAGGTTAAAAAAACACATTATTTTCCACATACTG